TATTTATATACTTATATACTCTTATATCTCAAAAATCATAAAATCTTACAAATAAATATCTTTTTATTCTATTTGGCAACAATTTAAACAAAGTATTTTAGACACAAATGGCTCTTTAAAGAATAATATAATAAAATATTCAAAATAACCAAATATTTATAATAACCATTCAATATTAGGACTTATTTTTGATAATATAATGTTTGTTAAAACAATTTTTTTAAATAAGTTTTAAATTAAAGAGTTAATTATAAATGTTATATAACAATATGTATTATAGAAACCTCATTATACAAGTAAGGATATCAACTACTATTGTCATATTATTATCAATTTTTGATATTTATCTTATTTATGATATTTCATGTTTTAATTATTGATACCCTTGATCAAATTGAGATGTATGATTTTTTTCTTTGAACAATCATACAAAACCTACATACTTATTGTTAATAAAAATATAAACATATATCCCTCATATTTATATACATATCGACATGCCTTGATTGCAATATCTATTTATATACCAATTTCATGTTTATATAAACTTTAAAAATCAACATATATATATATATATATATATAGACATATACACACACATATACATGAATACATATATGTGCATATTTGTTATTAGTGATAGTTTCTACATGAGTAATTAAAATTGAAGTACAGCATTACATCATAATACACACATAGTGGTACAAATGTCAATCCATAAAATCCAGACTTCTGGTAAAAAGTAAACATTGAAGTAAGTAAAAAATGAGTAGCCTCAATGTTTTGTTTGCTTTCGCTTTTTTAAATTATGTAAACATAGTCTGCATGTCGCTGCCAAGTAGTAGTAAGTAGTGAATCTACAATCCACATCACTATTGCAGCACTACCACTCTCTTCACGAAAAAACTGTTTTCTCGTCATAATAATAATAATTATTATTATTATTATTATTAGACTAATATACAAACACCATGATTAACCAACATCTCCGGTTGACTGACCCACAAGAGAACAGTATAAGACTCGGATGGTAAGAAGCACAAGATGATCAAGACTGACCCATTCCCATAAAAGCAGCCCCCCCTCGACGCAGAGCAATGGATGAATGACGGAAATGCCACCCTAGATGCGATGAACACTCAGGCTGTACGATTGAAGAAGAACGAGAGAGGGAGAGGAGAAGGGAAAAAAGCAAAAAATAAGAAAAAGCAAAAGGAAGGGGAAGAAGGGGAAGAAGGGGAAGGGGAAGGCTGGGGGGAGGTGGTGACGCACGGGCGGAGGCGGCGATGCGACGTCACCGCCCGCTCGGTTCGGAACAAGCGGCGACTCACCGAGCGAACGGTGCATCCATCCATCCGGCCGTCAGTCCAAAAATCAACGCATTCATCCAAAGGGGATCCACAAAGCACACCGGACCAGGGATTTGCGGAGCCCGGGACTATTTGTGCGCATGCGCGGGTGTGTGGGTGTGGGAGGGTGCTCTGCCTCCCTCCCTCACAGCCTCACGGGTGGGGGGGGGGGGATGGTAGGCAGGGAAGGGGAAGGGGCGAGGAGGGCGGAGGAGAGATGCTTCGTAGGAGGTGCGTGCTAGAGGAGTGGATGAGAGAGAGACTCTGACACCAAGCCCCCTCGGTCTCTCTCTCTTTCTCCCCTCCCTTCCCTTCCATTTCCTTCCCCCGCGCACCATTTACTTCCCCACTACTACTTCTACGACTACTATGACGACTACTGCTGGTTGCTACAAACAGACAGGAGAGCACTACCACAGCGCAACACGACAAGCTCTGAGCTCTAGCTGTTCCCAGCCCTGTACTGTCTTGGAGCTCGGGGCCTGCCCTGCCCTGCTTCAGCCTCCCTTCCCTCCTGGGGGATCTTTCTATCACTCTCAGCTCCCCCAGTAGGTAAATAAGTCCCCGGCCTCCGACGCCTTGCCTTCCAGTATCTCTTAAACCGTCTGGTTGCGGTTCCCCCCCCCCCCCCCC